GGGGGCACCAACAGGCAAAGTTACGCCACTGATGTTCTCCTTCTGTACTTGGTTAACTTCCGATAGCTTAAAAACCCTCAATCGTAAGGTAGTAACTCCCCCTGTTTGTCGCAAAGTTTATCAATTAAACTAACTCAAACCTTCAACCATAAAATTTCCCAGTAACTCCGTCAGTTCTTCATTGTCCTAAAGCCAAGTTTACCTAAACCATTAACGCCAAACGGGCCTAAACCGTAAAATTGTCCTAAACAAATAGGAAGGTATAAATTTAAACTGTTAACCAACAATAATAAATAATTACTGGTAAACCAAACTTTTCTCCAAAATGTATGTCTGCACTCAGGGCAACAAAATTCATCTAAAGCTGAAAAAATTATATTAAGTTTTACTGCTAAATTGGCCAATTATAAACACCCTTGTAATGCATTCTTATACGTAAATGGCTATTTTTTAAAAATTCAATATTATAGTAGCATGATTAGTTTTTTTACAGGCTAAGTAACCCCTAATAAAGTTTTCGCTTTGTAACAAAGTGAGAAATTTATCAAATTAGTTGCAAAACTAAGTAAGTGTTAACAGTTTAGGTACAAAAACTTTAACTCTTGTCTTCACAAGATTTACAGTTTCAGAAATTTCACAATAGCGCTCGATTTTTGGAAGATTTAATAAAGTGCGCGGCGTTCTAAAGTTTTCGTCGTTTCTAGAAGGTTCGACGTAGGCTTAAATTTATTTGAAAACCCCTTTAAATGGGAAAATTTATTTTTAATTATTACTCATTACTTAACTGCAGGGATGAAATGACAATTGTGCAAAACAGAATTTTTTCTACAAAAGCTTAAAATTGTTTCACACAGCGGTATTAAATTGGTTTGATTCACGATGTCAATCCTTCGCAGCTAGGCGCGGCCCAGTAGTGCATCGCGCACTATTTTACTATATATAAAGCAAGACGACAGTTATCCGTGCCATGTTTTACTGACACCACGGCATCAACTTTAACGCGAATATACGCTATTCATATTCATTATTACATCCTGGGTTGTGCTGCACAAAACAAAAACATAAAACATTAGTTTTCTTTACGGCTATGATATGGAAAAAATAATTATTTAACAAATGACATACAGGGTATGTAAAAAAACAATAAAATGGGCCCACCTTGTCATACGTTGTATGACTGATGACCCGCCGCGCACGAGTGCGCGGCTCCCCTGTATCGTCGAAACTCACTATAGTGAAGCGACCGTGGGGGTCACCACGTGATACAAGCAACAAGGCCCACCCAGTCTATTTATTGGTCGACAAGTTTGCAACTCGGCGCGCGTCTTGATAGTTTATAAACCTACAAACGGGTCCTAGTATACTACCAACTACGGGTGCGCGCTATAAATTAGTGAAACAAATTTTATCTACCAATCATCCTACACGTGGAACAGCTGTCAACAAACATTAAGTAAAATAAGTTTAATACTCCGAAAAAACTGGCTTAAGAATATATTGAAAATTGCTTTACAAGAATTGCAATTCACGCATGATACACTTGATTGGTGTGAGTGCGAGGACTCTGGTTAGAGCTGAGCAAGAGCAAAAAGGACGTCATTTGCTTTGCTGACATTGTCATGATTGCTTCGCTTCGAAAATCGTTGACGATATCGTTGCTATTCATAGCTACGATATGGAATGGTTGGCATCCTTAATTCACACACTGGGATTACAGATTATGGTGGCACAAGCGTGACTTATACCTACCTCCATAATATAATGCAGGTTATCAGGAAAACAACAATTTCAGGAAAACAACAATTTTATTTAGTATCAGTTACAGCAAACAAAAAATATATTTTATATAATATAATATAACTAGGACGAACTTTAGTTTAGAAATCTTGGGGGACTTGGAGTAGCAAGAGATTGACTAGAAGGTATATACCTTTTACCAAAAACGTCGAAAAGAATCCTGGGTGATACAGGATCGGAGAGTACAGACCATAAAGTTTACGCACCCACCTTTGCCTCCAGAATTCTTGGTTGGTTGAAAATGTATGCTAACTTGGTCGTTTATACTCCAAGTCCCTTTGTTAAAAGAAGTAATATTATGTACGTCTGGAGTTAACTTCATTCAATAATAACAATATCAATATAGTCAATATCAATATCAGACTAAACTATCGAATAAATTATCAAATATTATTTGTTAATTCGATCTGAATAAAAATTTAGTTAAGTTAAGATATTAAATAATTAAAAACATTACAACAAGTGGTTAAAAACGCCCAAAATTGATCTGAGAGCTTTTCAGTCTATAATACAATCATGATAGTAATATTAAGTGTGTTAAGTGTGTGCTGCTGCGATTAGAATAGATTACTGCAATTTAAAATTGTTTGGATTCCAAGTATCTTTTAAATCAGCAGCCTGTACTTGTAATAATAGTGCCTTGGTTCTCAATTTTATCAAGTTAATGGAAGTTTCTAGGCAATTGCTTGAGGTTAGAATTTTTTTATGAACAGTGTTCCAAAGCTTGGCTGCAGTGAACAAAAAAGTATTTGATTTATTAAGAAGAATAACCGTTAAACTCGTTGTACGGTTTGAAATGTTGATGGCCTCATAAAGGGAGTATGGGCAGTGGTACTTGATAATCTTAGAGAATTCTGAAATGCAATGGTACTTGAACAAGTTTTGAACTGTAAGAATTTTTAGTCTATTAAAAATGGGTTTTGTATGCTCCTTTTCAAAATGTTTATGGCCTAATCTTTGCATACCATATGGTCTAGTTCTTGCACATGTTGATTGTTTATCTAGATATGAGTCGAGATCACCAAAAAGGATCCTTATACAGTGCTTCTGAGTGATAAAAAGACTGTCATTGGACCGTTCCTTCAAAACTTCCACTACACTACTAAATCTCTTCACGGTGGAAGTTTCCTATAAACGACGAGACTGCCATTTATCCAGACTGTCATTTATCCATGGAGTGCTTGTTAGGTGAGGATCTAAATTGCTTTTTGTTGTGATGTGAATTTGTGGATTTTATTTTTAATTGACCATTATATATTACGTTGAAACAGAAATCCAGCTTCTCTCCGTTCCTCACACACTTAAACTATCTAATGGAACAAATAGACAGGATGGTGCAAGACTGGACATCAGTGCGATATCGTTCTGGTCGCCGCTGGACAGGGCATTCACAGATGTAAGGGTACTTCACCCTCAAGCCTAGTCCAACAGTGACAAGAGTATGTCGCCACTGGTCTTCAGTACTACAGGAGAAATGGCAACTGAGGCTTCACAGTTCCTAAAACATCTCGCTGAAAAGATCAGCCTAAAGAAAGGCCAACGGTATTGTGATGTGATGTCATTTGTCAGACGCAGACTGCGTTTTGATCTACTCAGAACCTGTATAGTCTCTATCAGGGGGTACAGAGGTACCAGAACCCTTCCACCCACGGCAATGAGTGATTTGGACCTTAACCTGATCAACACTCTTAAACCCTAAAAGGTCATGGAGTGCTCTAGTTGGATGGGGGTCTAAACTGCTTTTTGTTGTGATGTGATTTAGTGGATTTTATATATACAGGGTGGGCCAAAAGTCAGTGTGCAAACGTTGGGTCTTATACCTCCGCCGTGTTTTATATTTGAGAGCTGTTGCTTTGCAAATGGCATACTGTACTTACTGGTTCGAGGATTCCGTCGTCAAAATTTGAAAATTCGAATATTTTAGACCACGCCCATTCAATATTAAAACACCTATATTGTTTTCTCTGAACATGCTGAACGCCTAATTTTTTCAGAGACGGTAGATTATCAAATGTTGCATATGATCTGAAAACATGAGGCAAAACGGATTAGAAATAACGAAGTTATCAAGCATTTTGTGTATCTCGTTAACAAAATTGACTGGGTGATTATGTGACACCGTGACACGACACCTTAATTGGGCACCCTTGACAATTCCCATAATGTTTAAAGGGGTAGTTAACGGGGTCACCTTATCACGTGATTAGGTAAACCAATCACCTGATCACACGTAATGAATAAACTTGTTATGCTTCATATCTCGGTCATCTGAGAAGCTACAGTTATAATTCTTTCAGGACAAACGTAATTCGAATGGCCAAACACAATTCAATAACATTTAGCTTGATCCGCCTATCCAAACTATCAAATAAATGTGAAAATGAACCTCCATTTGAAAAAAATGAACGTGAATATTTTTCGAGTTGACAAATTCCTCGAACCAGTGGTGGTACTAAGTCATACCAGAAGGAAGTATTTCAATTGGGCACTCAGTGACCGAGCTATTAAGGCCAACGTTTGCACACTGACTTTTGGCCCACCCTGTATTATTACAAAGGGTTTTATTTTTACCTCAGTTTTTAAATTTGTACCATTTTTACAGAATTTTTATATAGGGTCATGGCTATATTATGTGTATATTGTTAGAATATTTTCATTACTTTAGAGTATCTCGCTGATGTATCAATCTCACGAGAAAAACAAAAAATGTGAGTACAATGACAGAGTCCTCAATGTAGAAAAGGCTACTGTCACGCCACTGGTAATCAGTACTACAGGAGGAATGGCTTGTGAGGCTTCATAGTTCCTAAAACATCTCGCTGAAAAGATCAGCCTTAAGAGTGGCCAACGGTATTGTGATGTGATGTCATTTGTCAGACGCAGACTGCGTTTTGATTTACTCAGAACCTGTATAATCTCTATCAGGGGTTACAGAGGTACCAAAACTCTTCCACCCACGGCGATAAGTGATTTGGACCTTAACCTGATTAACACTCCTAAACCTTAAAAGGTCATGGAGTGCTTGTTTGGTGGGGGTTTAAACCGTTTTATGATGTGATGTGAATTTATGGATTTTATTTTTAGTTGAACATTTTTAAATTACAAAGGGTTATATTTTTTTTGTACCCCAGTTTTAAAAAAATTTCGTCTGCTTTTGTGCCCGTAAAAACTAATATCGTTAACATATAACTGTCTGAAGCCAAGTTCAAAGGCGCACAGCTGCTGATGGCGCAAATAAAATGGGTCAACACAGTGACCTCTATAAAGAATTTGCTATCCTCACTTACTTGCTCGCTCTGTTCTACCATCATGAAAAAGCCAGCTAGTGGAGGATGTTCTCACATGTACTGCCATGACTGCATCATGAACCATTGTGAAGGTAAATTATTATATCATGGCCTTTTCTTCGAAAGAAGAGATTTAATTTTAAGTTATTCCAGAAGGAGTGTCAATTTCTAAAGGATTTTAATGTGTTTTTGGTAGCAATCAATGTTTAGCAGTAAAACTTATAAAAATTTTTTTCAGCTTTAGGTGAATTTCGTTGCCCTGAGTGCAGACATCCATTTTGGAGAAAAGACTTGCACATTCATCATGAGATAGATCAGATTATAAACTTATGTGAAGATGTGTTGCCAAAATTTGAAGCAGATTTCAATGACACTAATCCCAGGGACTGTTCAGAAGACATTTTAGAACAGGAAAACAATAAAACAGGAAACTTCTTAAAACAGTCTTCTTTGAGGGAGGAAGGGGGTGTTGAGAAAGAAACTGTTGCCAATATTGATGTGGATGATGGTGTAAATATTTTAGATGATGAAAAAGCACCCTTATTCCATACACCTCCAGATAATGATCAAGATGACCCAGACTCATTTGTTACTGCTAGTAATGAAAGCCCCAAGCAGCCAGTTCCAAACACTGATCTTCAACATTCTGGTATAGCTGGTTCCTCTTGCAGGACATTGAATTTGGATCAGCAGCCAGAACAATACTCCAATTTAAATTCTATATTTGATGACTCAAATGACGATGCAGATGATCTTCCAGTATTTGATTTGATTTTAGAGATTAAAAGCAGTTCGGAATCGCATAGCAATATTGATGCAGGTAAAGGTAAAGATATGCACAAGGTTTCATTACCAACTACTCCAATCGAAAATGTGAGTCAGAAATCTTGTCATGTAAAACCTGTTGGAAGAACATACTCCATGAGAAATAGGCATAAATGTCCCAAAGTACCTGTCCACAATGTTGTAGATGATGACTCTCAGATATCAAACTGGCTTAAGAATAGTGTCCTTTTTGAAGAGATTGATAATGTTTTGGAACCAGGAAATGACCAAAAATCAAAAGCAAGAAGAACTAGGAAGAGCTCATCATCAATAAAAATTGATGAACTTATTACGGATAGTGACAAAGGTTTAAAAGTTCCAACAAAAAAACTGGAGAGAAAAGATGATTTTAAAGGTTCAATGAGCACAAGAAGTAAAAGGAGCAGTTCTTCCTCAATAAAAAGTGATCTTCCAAAAACACCTGTGATTAAGAGAAAAAGTTCTGAAAACAAAGCAAAGCCAAAAAGAGTGAAAACATCTCCTGCAACAATTCCTTTGTCTGAAATCAGAACTCCACAGGCAATTATCAAAACACCTCGTTCTAAACAAACAGCTGCAAGAACTCCTAAAACACCTACATCGACTCCAAGAAACAAGAGGAATCAGAAGGGTGAAACCTTACTTCATAAGGCTGCAATAACAGGTGATTTTGAGAAGCTTAAGTCACTGTTGGTTGAAAACGAGATTGATGTGAACAGTAAAGATAATGCTGGATGGACCCCTCTTCATGAGGCCTGTATCAAGAGGCATGTTGATTGTGCAAGACTTCTCCTGAAGCATGGGGCCCAGATTAATGCTAAAGCAGAAAATCATGATACACCACTTCATGATGCCTGTGCTAAAGATGCTGTCGATATCATTGAACTTCTTCTTGAAAATGGAGCATGTAAAATACTTAAAAACCTAGATGGCTATACCCCTGTAGATTGTGCTCAGTCAGATAAAGCACTACAATTACTGGACAAAGCAACAAGTGCTCAGAATCTGTCTGTACTAGATGAAAATCATCCTCCTGAAGAATCCATGGAGGATGTCGTCATAGCTTTTTCTGGAGTACCAAATGCTAAATTTGGAAAGTACCAGAAGATGAAAGGACTGACTTTTAAAACAGTAGAAGAAGTGACAAACCAAGTTACCCATTTAGTTTGTGCAATAGACGAGAATAGCTGTTGTAAACGTACAATAAAGTTTATGAAGGCTATGGCACTGGGTGTAATAATCGTTTCAGTCAGATGGTTGGATGAGTGTGCCAAGTCATCAAGTTGGATAAATCCCTTGGAATATGTGGTAAAAGGAGCTTTGAATTCTGCCAAAGGTGCTCCACTAAAATCATTTTCAGATCAGAAAAACGGTGTTCCAAGACTGTTTACTGGCTTAACCTTTTTCATTGACAATAAAAATAATACAAAAAATCTCAGCAAGGATGTTATCTCTGATTTAATTCAGTCGGCTAATGGCAAATTGTTGAGCAGGGCCCCAAAAGAGCCTGCTTTAAAAAAGACTAAAGTATACCATGCCGAAGAAGACTCAATTCTCCATCCTCAGTCTACTATCATTATTAGTGAGAGCCAAACATCAACTGAATTATTGGTAAAATCAACGAAATGGATCATGGATTGTATTTCAAGTTACATGTTGATCGAACAATGAGCCATTATTCATTAAGCTATCTTCTTTTTAAGAGTTTGTGATAAATTCCACTATTCATTTTGTATTCAATAGATTCTAATTGTTATTTTGAAATTTATTTTTAATCTTCTGACTGTACAGTATAACCTCATATTCTTTATCTTGGTACAGCTGTTTCCTCAATAATTACATGTTTGGACGTTTGCAAATAATTTTCTTTAGCAGACCAAATTATTAATTGATCATTTTAGTATGATTACAGTTCTGAGTTAAAAGCATGTGAATATGTAGTAGCCTTTAGGTACAAACTCAAACCTGTAATGTTTACAAAATGCTGAAGCTTAATTATCAAAGTTTCTTACTATATACTGATTAGCATAGCCCTTAATCATGGCCATGTTCAATTTGCATTCGTAAAATACTTAACAATATCAGTATGTAATTATTTAGTTCAAGGTTTTTTATTTCTAAATATATGATGTGTTGTATGTTGTAATGTTGTGTGTTATTATCAAAGAATGGATTCGGCATAGTTCCCAAACTATATTATACTGTATTTTGAAATTTAGCAATCAAATATATTCATTTTTGATTTGTACGGTCACCTTGTTTTGAGATACCATATCTAACATTTCCCCCCAGTAACAGCAATAAGCCATGGTTGACGTAAGCAAAGCACAAGATGGTGGAATCCTCAAAAAGGTGAGATTTAATAATAGTTTAAATAATAGAGTATTATTGGGTAATTGTCCTATAAGCACAATGGAGTTGTGCGAAGCATAAATTACATTAAACTATATTAATCTAAACTACACTACACTACACTACACTACACTACACTACACTACACTACACTACACTACACTACACTACACTACACTACACTACACTACACTACACTATACTACACTACACTACACCAAACCACAATACACTACACAAAACTACACTACATTACACCACACACCTCACACTACACACCTCACTGCTCACACTACACACTACACTACATATTACACTACACTACACACTACACACTACACACTACACACTACACTACACTACACTACACTACACTACACACTACTCTACACTACATATTACACTACACTACACTACACTACACTACACTACACTACACTACACTACACTACACTACACTACACACTACTCTACACACCTCACACTACACACTACATAACACTACACTATACACTACACACTAGCGCCACTACACACTACACTACATTACACCACACACTACACATCTCACACTACACACTACATACTACACTGCACACTGCACACTAGTCACTACACACCACACACTACACTACACTACACACTACACACTACACTACACTACACTACACTACACTACACTACATTACACTACACTACACTACACTACACTACACTACACTACACACTACAATATTCTCAGATACTAACTGAAGGAGCAGGAGATACTCCCTCGAGTGGTAATGAAGTGAAAGTACATTACACCGGGCGTCTTCTTGATGGCACCGTCTTCGATTCAAGCAAGGATAGAGACGAGCTCTTCAAGTTCAAAGTTGGAACTGGTAAGTTTAAGTCTAATCTTAAACAATACGTCGAAATTTGTTCTTTATTTTTCTGCTAATTAAACGGTCCAGGTCAAATTTTATCCTTATTAATACTTTAAAACCTTGATTTATACGGAGAGCAAACATCAGGGGCTCACAGTAAATCAGGGTTCTTGGTAAACGGAGTTTTGTTGTTGCTATAAACTTGATTTAGAGAAAGTGTTTAAAAATGTTTTTTTGTATGAAAGGATAAATCTAACCATTACTCCTCAGGACAAGTGATAAAGGGCTGGGACGAAGGGATAGTAACAATGAAAAGAGGTGAGACAGCTGTGTTAACTTGTAAACCAGAATATGCATACGGTGCTAGCGGATCTCCCCCTAAAATCCCACCTAACTCTACTCTCGAGTTCGAGGTGAGTCCACTTTTTCAAATCCATCATAAGTATTGAACAGTTTATATGCTAAATTAAACCCACCGTCATTGGCCACTTCAAATGATCTCAACTGTTAGGCAACGAAACCATTTCTTTTAAATTTTAATCCTTAGAAATGTACGCTGTATTTTCATTAAACAGCCGTCACTGCCAGAAACGGTTAATTTAGAGCTCGACTTTTCGGTCACACTACTAAATGTTGTATTTGGCACGCGCGGTAAGATTATCCGTGTCCTTTATAGGCTTTCTGGAAAGTTCGCGCCAAATTTCAGAAAAATGCGTACGTGCGCTGCATTTCTGGAAGGCCGAGGTGCCAGACCCTTGGGCGGGTTTTGTCCAATTAAAATTACTATCGCAATTAGAATATTAGCTAAGTACTTCACACAGCAACCAAGCGTTGTTGGTAATGTTCTACAACGAGGTTCATCATCTGAAACACATTTCGCGACATGGTCACATTACAGTAGTTGAGCAACAAAGGAAAAGGGAAGGTCCATTTCCATTACGTCACTATGCGACTCACTGTCCCACCTCTTACCAAACTCGATTAAATTTCAGGTTGAGATGCACGATTTCTTCGGAGATGACTGTAGTGATGACGGCGGTGTCTCGAAGAACACCACTAAGGAAGGTTCCGGTCTGTCCAACCCGAGAGAGGGCTCCACTGTTAGTGTATCCTGGTCCATGAAGCACTTGGACAGAGATCTGGAGACTAGATCCGTCAAGTTTATTCTGGGTGATGGCGCTGGAGAGGGTGTTGGTAAGTGCTTTATAAAATATAATTTGTCCGTATCATCTTCAAAAAGACTGTTAATAATGAATTAAGATATTGGATATATATTGGATATATACTTGTATTGTCGGATTATTTCCAACCACAAAGCTCCCGGTTTACACGTCTAAAACTTCCACTTCTCAGTTCCTGGCGTTGAGAAAGCCCTGCTGAAAATGAAGAAAGGAGAATCCGCTAATGTAACAGTGAAGTCCCACTACGCATATGGCGATGTTGGAGACGCTAAACTCGCTGTCCCAGGAGGAGCTGATTTGGTTTACAACCTTACCCTAGAGGACTTTGAACAGGCTAAATATAAGTATGAAATGTCGAACGCCGAAAAGATCGAGTTTGCTGAGAAAGCCAAAGAATTGGGCACGGAATATTTCAAAGCAGGAAAGTTCGACCTGGCTCTGAAGAAGTACAAAGTTATCACAGAGTATTTGGAGCCTGAAGCGGAGGATTTTGATGACATGCCAGACAGTGATGACGAGGATAAGGACGGAGAAGCTGAGAAGAGCGAAGAGAAGGATCCAGAACACGAGAGAAAATCACAGCTGCTTCAGGTCGCTAGTTACAGCAACCAAGCTCTCTGTCTATTGAAACTTCAAGATGGGATAAACGCGTTCAAAGCGTGCGAGTCTGCTCTGAAGCTTGATCCTAAGAACATCAAAGCTCTATTCAGAAGAGGACAGTCTGCTGAGATGAGCCAGGAATGGGAAGATGCCATCGGTCACTTCAAAGCCGTTCTGGAGGAAGATCCCAAGAACACAGCCGCAGCAAGCAAGATCAAGTTCTGTCGCAACAAAGTAATGAGCTTCAAACAAGCCCAGAAGAAGAAATATGCTAACATGTTCGAACGTACCAACTTCAAGGAACCAGAGCCAATCAAGGACGAGAACAAAGTCAAGCCTGACTTCTCAGATGACGAGGAAGGAGAGGCTATTGGGTCAGATGAAGAGAAGCCTCAAGAAATGGAGGTCTAAAACTTCTCTCTGTGGCGGATATTGCACCCTCTAGTCTCCCGACCCTGAATCTGCTTTAACCTAGCTGAGATTTATCTTAAAGAGGTGCTGCATTTATCCACGTTCACATGATATATGTTGCTATATTTTTCGTGTTCTTACAGTTGTTGAAGAATTTTGCTGCTACGTTTCATATTGAATACCTGCAATGCCTTTGGCTTGGCCGACACTTATATTTTACGTTTTTTATTATTTGTTACATCATTCTTCAAACTGTCAAAAGTTTTAGATGATTATTTTGGAAGATTATTGTTTTCGTTTGTTACACTAAATTATCAACTTAAAAATCGAACGAAACCCGGATAGGAACTCTTGATAGGAATCAAAAAGGACCGAGCGAATAAATTGTGAAACTATTCTAGACTTATTCGCAAAAGTACACATAAGCCACTTGCTTATAATTCACATTGTCCCCCGTTCACAAAAAATAAACGGCAGTTCATTATATTAGTTCCTACTTCCTATTAAGTTTTGCATATCACTGTTCATTTTAAGACGTACGTTAAATACTTATATTGTGGATCAAAATTTTGCGCAGTCCCAAATAAAATAAAATTGCAGTCCTAGGACATGTGACATGGGTAAATGGACCTAAATGAGTTCCGGCTCAACTTTCATTGATAGAATTAGAATCTGCAACAGCTACAATTTCATTAACTGATGATTATATTTGACTATTTAAATTAGTGGTGGCAGTTGGCACTGTACTTTCCGTGTCGACAAAGCACAGACACAGATCTGTGACGAGACTAATGTAATTCTAGTAATTGTAAAGGTCAGCTCCAGGTAAGACGTGTGATGATAATAAGACACGTTACTGCTGTCCCGTGCCCATAGTAACATTAACGTACCAAACCTTAAAATGAGCTCAATTCTAGGCAATTCTAGCAGCTTTCCTGCGACCGTATACTTTTTGCTCGTTGTCGGAATCCTGTTTAAAACGTCTCGTCTTGTAGCCATGAGGTCGCCCTCCAACGGGTTACTAGCATATTATACTGTACAGTTTAACCTTTTATCACTGTCAGTCCCACCTGCTGACCATGTATTAACTTATTAAACTTTGCAGCATATCTTAGCCACGTCACATTTCACAAACAGTAATATTATCACTCATTACATTATCGTTTAACTTGCAAGTTGCGAATATGTCATATATTCTGATCGGCTCACTTACTCAGCTTGTCACTTACCCAGCTTATTTACTAATTACTCTGCGATGACGTACTACTACTGGCACTGCTGAGTTTGTAGACTTAAAGGCCTGCACACAGCATGAGAATGGAGAACAGCTTACCGTCAAACCATTTAGCCGCTGGTCATTTTCATTGTTATCAATATCAATGTCGGTATGTAAATGTTGTCATGAGAATTGGAATTTTTGCCCCTCTTTATTCAGTTCTACTTTTCGACGAGTAATATACTAATTAAAGTAATGTAATAGGTATTCTAGTAAAATGTCGAGCATCTTTGATAGTTCTTACTATTATACTATCTATTAGTATTACAGATAGGGATTGTGGGAATGCCTTCAAAAGACTACCATATCGGACGTAATTTGACCGGACATTTTGTGAGCGGACATAATTTTGAACGGGCATTAAAATGAACACTCAAAGTCAAAGACATTCATTTAATATATTTAATTTAAATAGTACCTTGTCGGACTTTATTTGAACGGACATTAAAATGAACGCTAGGGCCTCCAGCGTCCAATTAATGTCCGTTCAAATAAAGTCCGATAAGGTATATCCAATTCTATTTGAAAGTGTTCGAAAATACAAATTTATTATCGATTCGAGGGCCGAAATTACCTGAAATTGCAACAAGAATAGTCTCACAATATTTACATTAAGATTTGAGTTATGAGGCCGATTATCCCTATCTTTCAGTAAGGTTGTGCAGTATGTGCACTTGGGTCTCGATTCAATTTTATAAATAAAATTTTACAATTACAAATATTTTTACCACTGATTCCGAATCAACCAGATAAAATTGTATGTATAGGTATTACTATTAGGTATGTATTTTTTAAATAACGTCCGATTTGTGTAATATCCCGTCCACTTTAACGATCGGTCGAAATGCTGGAAGGGGGCGGCAAAATGTTGAAGGGGTAAAAAAGTAGTTCTGACCTTTTTCCACTATACTGTGAGTGAGTGTGGTCACTAATATAATACTAATATAGATCTCCAATTATTTATATACGAAACCCAAGTCCAATGGCAAAATCAAGTCAGTCATACAACTACCATGGCGCCAATGGATCCATTGAAGTAAAGCCGATGCAAATCATGTTGCCAGATTCGCTAATGGATCCACCCCGTGTCGCCAACAGTACAGTGGTAGGTAAAGTCTAGACTTGGAGCTCCAATGATACTTACATACATAGGGAATACTTGACTTTGAATAAGTTTTGGGTTCTTGAAAAGCAGAAATGTGGACTTTTGACTATTCGCTATTTGAGTTGCAATCACTCGCATATTACTATCTTCTTATAAAAAATCATCAGATGTCAAGGCCGAGATCAACTGCGAGTCCGGCAAAGTTTCTCAGCATCTCAACAAGATCCACCAGAAGCATGAAACTGAGGCTGTTTCCACCTGATCGTGCCAGAATGCTAGCCAGAGCTCACTGCTCACAAATGGTAAGAATTTTTAAAATGTATATTTTTCATTTTTTTAATCAACTATATACAGCAAACACAAGATAATAGAAAATAAATCATAAAATCGAGTGGCCGAGTAGTCTCGACTCACCCATAGCTTCTCCATAAACGTCTATCATGAGCTTTGTACACTAAATCGTTGAAATTACTTAAACTAAATATTTTATTTACAATCACAATAATATTCTTTGTCATAATGTCTTTTAATAATAAATCAAATAAATTTGAACGAGGTCTGCCCCTCCTTCCTTTGTAGTCAAAACATCCTAAACATGCAAATCTAAAAGATAAGAAAGCGGGAGTGTCATCACCGCTTCTGAGAACGTGCCCAAGCATCTTCCATCTTGATCCTTTCAGTAAGGGGTCTGACATTACATCTCTTATATAAATTCTCGTTACTGATAACCGTAGGCCAATAGGTGTTGATTATCTGTCTCAGATGCTTTCTTTGAAGAACGTCGACAGATGCCATTACGGTTTCAGGAGCAGCCCAGCTGCTACAGTTATACAACAACACTGAAGTGACAAGAGCTTCGTACAGCTTCAGCTTTCTACTCTCACTGATCTGAACAGAACTATTCAACCAGACTTTCTTGTAGGTGTAAAAGGCAACATTGGCTTTGTTGCGTCTGTTGACAATATCTCTTTCTGAACAGAGCTTTGATCCTAATAGCACTGACTCTCGCCACTCTTCATCTCCTCTAATTTTATTGCCATGGGCATCTAAAGCATCTGTATCTGCCAAATACACTCTTGTAAACACTGTCTTAGATTCGTTAACAAAGAGACTCCAATCCTTTAGTATATCACTGGCAATCTCTAGTATCTTCACCAGGCTCTGACCATCTTCACTCAGAAGCTCAGCATCGTCAGCATAGGCGGACTCTAACGGGAGGCCTCTATCAGAGACTGGGGGTTCGGTCTAGGAATCGTGACACTGATCACGGCTCTGATGTGATTCAGGGCACCGGCAAGGGTCAATGTAAACACTTTACCTGCCAGACTGTCTCCCTGGTAAGCGCCAATATTAGTCACAAATTCACCAGACTCAGATCTGTTGACCGTCACCTTGAGCTTTGTATTTGAGAGGAGGTACTGAACTAGGCGAATGTCGTCTCTAGAGCATCCTGCATCAATGAGGAGGTTGATGATGGTCTGTCTGCGGATAGTACTAAACGCAGCGGTCATGTCAATGTTGATTTTACTATACTCAAACTCGCGCCTGGTAACCACTGATGTCAACATTCTCTGAGACCATACCAGGTCAGCACAACTGCGACCCTGCTTGTATGCCGCCTGCCAAGGTCCAGTGTACATATCAACGTGGTAATTGATTCTGTTCAAGGCTACGAGGGATAGGACTTTTCTAGTTCCATTTAGCAATGTGAGGGGCCGGATAGACTTTATCGGACCACGGGGTTTTCCTGGCTTCTGAAGGGGTGTCAGGATACCTTCTCCAATAGTACAACGTGTACGATGCCTTTGCCGCTACAGAATGAACACTTGGATATGGTAGATGATGCTATGGTTATGAATGGCCAGTTCCTTACGGAGTATGTGAATCAGATACACATGGCAACAGTGGCGTAACGTTGCCTGTTGGCGCCCCCCTGCCGAAAAAAGCGCCCCCTGTTGGCGCCCCCTCCCCTTTTGGTGCCCCTCCCTAAAATTGAACAAATTAGGTGATTTTAAAGAATACGCCGGTAAAATCTCTAAAAAAGTGTGTATCTAGAGCAAAACGCGCAGTTTTGCTAGTACTTTAGTTAAGTTTTCGAAATTGTCCCACATTCAAACGACGATTTGGCGCCCCCCTAAGACGGCGCCCCCCTGCACAGCGGGGTCAGCAGGGCCTTTCGTTACGCCACTGCATGGCAACTGACAGTATTTTCAAGGAGATTAGAAGTAAAATCGGTGCCGAACACAACGATGATGTGCAATTTGACAAACTGAACCAGAGAAGTGTGCCTAGAGAGAGGTTATCAGAATGGCTAGAGACAGTGTGCTATTTGCTGAACGATTATTGTGGTCCATTGTTACAATCTGCCACAGAAACAGCTACCGACAACAGGGTGTTCAAGAAAGAAAAAATAGAAGATGCGACTAAGATCATAGAACTGCAAGAGAAGTTACTCTCTAAGCAAGAAGAAGATATGACAAAAATCAGTGATCTGCAGGAGAAGTTAGCTTTGAAGAAGGATGACGAGATTGGAACTGTGAAAAGTGCAGCTCAGAAAGAGATTAAGACCTTTTCGTCTCTGTTGAAAAACACGTGCAAAAACGCCTTTGCACCGAAGAAAATCCAAGCTGCAGTGAAAAGGGTTGCCCTAGAAGAAGATCGAAGTAAAAGTCTGATTATCTTTGGGATTCCAGAGACTGAGGAGAACCTGGATGCTAAGGTATCTGGTATTTTGTTGGACCATCTCAACGAAAAACCGAAACTTTTGAGATGTAATAGAGTTGGAAAGGACACAAGTGAACGAGTCAGACCAGTTAAATTCACTTTGTCAAGCTCAGATCAAGCTCGTACCATCTTGAGCAAGACTAAGTTATTAAGACATGTAGAGGGGTTTAGTTCTGTTTACATAACTCCTGATAGATCAGCTGCAGACAGAATAGCCTACAAGAAAGTTGTCGTCCAGCTACTCAATAAAAGGACAGCAGAGCCGGACAAAGTTCACGTAATCAGGAACTTTAGAGTCATTAGCTCGGAGAAGGAGCCTTGAGAGTTTTATATTTTCTATAAGTACAATATTATATGTTTTGATTAATTGATTAATTAATTGTTGCTAGGGCCCAATGTTATTGCGGGTGTGGTATTTACTGCACACTACCGTGTTTTGGTTACCCCTCTTTCAATACATAATTTGGGTTTCGATATTCTGGGATAGTGAAAATTAGGGCTATATCGGTTTTTTCCTTTTATAACTGGGTTTATTTAGAAGCGTTCAATTCTGTATAATTATGTATTGTTTGAAAAGTTTTAGATAAAGCTGGGATGTATGTGTTGGTCTCAAAGGAGAGATTGTAGATCCTAGCCAACTCACAGTGGAGGGGATATCCAGCAGCTTTCATTAGCTCATTAGGTATACCGTCAGGGCCACACGCTCTACCGGATTTCAGCTTCATAACAGCACGGCCAACTTCTTCAGGTGTTATGGGACAGAGGAGGCTTCCAGGAGGGTCTATGAATGCTGGGAGGTGGGGTTCATCTTTGTCATTGAACTCATTATTAAAGTATTCTTTAATAGCTTCTGCTTTTAATGAGTCAGAACCTAAGGTGTTGCCGTCTGCATCGTGGACAGTCACTCCATCTTTCTTCATCCTACACTGGGCCAAAGTTCTATTCGCTTCAAACATGCTTCTGCAGCTGTCGGTGTTGTTGATGACATCTACTAGGGCGTTAGCAGTGGCCGCGTTGATAGATTTCAACCTCTTTTTGATGGTACGTTTGAGATGGTTAATTCTTTTTCTGAGGTCACTCCTGTCACTTATCCCTGTGAGGCTACATTCTTGCTGAAGGGACTTTCTCTCTGCTGAAAGTTTAACGACAGTTGGATCGTCGCTGTACTGATGAGGCTTCCCCGGAGGCACTTTACCAACCACCTGGACGGCGCATTTACTCAATATACCAAAAATATCAGAATTTTCAGAAATAGCATTATTAGTTAAAACTCTACAATCAATATTACTTTTAAAAGAATCAAAAAAAAAAATGTATATAATATACAGGGTGGCCCATAAGTGACTACCCACACGCAACCTCTTAATAACTCACGTAATTCGTCTCCAAATTGCACAAAAATTTCAGAGATTATAGATATGGGTCAAACTTAGATTTCCTGAAAGTTTCGTAAGCCACGCCCAATTACAGTGGGCGTGGCGTGACACTCCCTCTTTTTCACTATTGTCTTCATAAAATGAGAACGCTTTAAGCTAAGAACTCAAAATTTTTTGCACACATTTGGCTTGATAATTGAAAACTTTTCCAAAAGTTTCAAGTTCATTGGTTAAAATATGGCTGAGTTATGACCATTTTAAAATCCATCGGATATGTGATCCGAGCACTCAGTCAGTGATATTTGCACTCAATTACTGATCTCGTCACCCAATCTGATCAAGAGTAAGGCGTTAGCGTGTATTAATGAGGTTCATCGGCAAGGGGGTGGTCGGTTGAATTTCATCTGAAATTGTCGTTTAATCTGAGGGTAGAACTCCCCATTTTCTTTCTTCAGGTAGATGAACAATCGTTGTTCTGCAGTAAAGGGAGGATAGTGAACCATTTTCGATGATTCAATGGATGGTTCATTCCTTTTTATTGATTGTTAGGAACCTGTGACTAGCAGGGCTAACAAGCCCTGAAATGGTGACACCATCATAAATTCGTGTGATAGCGTTTTAGGTGCTGTCAGCTGTATAGGCCGGCCCATAAGCAGGCTGCAACCAATCAAGCGGTGCATGTGAGCCAAACAGGCCATTAACCAAGTGACGAGATCACTGACTGAGTGCTCGGATCACGTATCCGATGAGTTTTGAAATGGTCATAACTTAGCCATATTTTAACCAATGAACTTGAAACTTTTGGAAAAGTTTTCAATTATCAAGCCAAATGTGTGCAAAAAATTTTGAGTTCTTAGCTTAAAGCGTTCTCATTTTATGAAGACAATAGTGAAAAAGAGGGAGTGTCACGCCACGCGCACTGTAATTGGGCGTGGCTTACGAAACTTTCAGGAAATCTAAGTTTGACCCATATCTATAATCTCTGAAATTTTTGTGCAATTTGGAGACGAATTACGTGAGTTATTAAGAGGTTGCGTGTGGACTGTGGGTAGTCACTTATGGGCCACCCTGTACTATAATCATTTTGTGCTACACTTCATACCAATGACATGAGCACACTTCCAACTGATACAACTTTGGTGCATACGCCATGGTTTGTATTTTTAACAGCCTACATAATGTTTATGATACATATATAATGCAGTAAAAACCTGAAAATTGAGTTTTGAAACATTTAGCAGGTAGCCTGGTAGTGGTAGCAAACCTGTCATGCTCTCTCCCCTGAATCCATGATATCTATAACTTGAATTGATCACGTGCCATACATATTATATATAACTGATTTCAGTTATATTCATTTAGTCATAGATAATGGTAATTATTGTTGAAATATTATACATCATTTAATGACCTCTCTGACAGGACGAACTATGAAATTACAGCACCTTGTTGATTTGGGCACATATTTCTGGGTCTTTCTTAGTTTAACCCTCAGGATTTCAGCCATTGAAGAATGAGGTGATCGGAATATTTCATTCAATCGAAGTTTAGATCACAAATTTATTCAAGACAAGCACTATCATTGTTTTGTGATAGCCTGTTAGTGTTAGTGTTATATTTATAGCACATGCATTTTGGCCGTCATAACAGCTATTTGAGTATTATGAGAGTCAGCCTTGATGTTTGATGCCTCCAACACACAAGTGGCTTGATAGGCTGCCTGGTTATGCGCTGATCGAAGAGCTAAGATTCTATTAAATTTCCGATTGCCGACAATCATGATTATAATCTGCAATTGTAGCAAAACTTGATGAATCTTTAACGCATAATATAAAGGCACGCAATATCGATATCATGTAGGTTTACAAGCTTGATAGTCATACCTACAGTTTACAAATCCACTATCTCTCCTTGTATTTTAATCACAAAGTTACATGTTATCTTTATCTACTTATTTCAAGCTAACGAGCGTTATTTATGATAATTGTAGAACATGGTCAACTGCATGTTAGACTTGCTCCCACGCTCAGACAGATTGTCTTGAGGAGGCCATGTCATTGGCAAAGTCTACGTCACCAGGTGCACTTGGAGAGAGGGTGTGCACTGTACCTGTTTGACCACTTTCACTGCTGTACTTGTAGCAGTCTCTGCTCCGACAGATTTTAACCAGCGTTTGCGATTTGCTTGTGAGCATGTCATAATATTATTTTAACAAGATTATATCATGACTGCTGGACTGAAAAAACTACTTGTCGTAAATATTAAAATACGACACAGTTTTAGTCGAGTTATATACTTCTGTTCTATTCTTAAAATACCAATACATTTTTTACGATTTTCCTGACTTGGTTATTCGAATGATATTTTCACGTGGCCGTAAAATATCGGATTGAAAAATGCACGTTCTTTGTTGTGCATGACTTAAAATAGCATAACGACTGTCTACTAATGCTAATGGTGAACATATCTTAAAAATCCAGATCAATCCTTAAACCACAAAAAATCAATTTCGTAACAGTGACCACGGTAATTTAATAACATTATAATTTAATATTTAATTCCCATGCTACGAAGCAGTGCCAGTTAACCTACACTCCAGTGCAAAGAATTAAGTACTTATATTCAGCTCCACTTTTTATTTGAAGGAATTAAACAAATTTAAAATCAAAACGCAAGACAAGCATATTCCTAGTAACGTAATAGCAGAAAAGTAATATAAAACCGCACTTCCAGCCGTATTACACTATATTTTCTAACAAGTTTACGTATCACCTTCAATCTCATCACACAGGATTCTTTTAAAGTTCTTAATTCATGGTTTTAAGTCTAGTAGTCTAAGCCATGTGATGCACTGTTCAAATGTAACGTTGTTGGTTGCGGTGCTGATTGTGTGCTCAGTTGTTTTCAAATTTACTCTGAGAATTTCTAGAACGATGATTAAAGCTGATTTACGATACATGTATCAGTAATGGTTTGTTGTTAGTATTTGCTTTGCTTTCCGTTATGAAGCCAAAATTTCCCAAGGTAAATTTGGAATATGCAGATAACTTCGAGTGTAAACATTCGTTCCAGTGCACAGTAAAAAGTTGCTGAATCAATAAGCATTGGACTGAAATTCTCCTCATGTCTTAATAAAGTTGGTCCCTTTATAGGAGAGGTTTGACTTGTTCTATTTTCAGGTGATGGAGGCACTGACCAGTAGCCGGGCGCTGGATGAAGCGATCAATGAGGGTTCTTCTGTCTCGTACAAAAACCTCCCCAAATCCTCACTACCTCATTCCAAAAAGACCCATATATATGAGGGTATTGACATTCATGCCATTACTCGAGACATCCTCGCTCTGCCTCGCTCTTCATACTCGAAGGAATTAAATAACAGCAGGCAGTATTCAGTGAGCATGAAACTGATTACCCAGCCCCCATCTGAAGCAGAAGCTAGATCGAAAAAAAGCTCAGAGAGCGCACCAGTTGACCCGGGATTTAAAGTGAGTGCTAAGTACAGACAGTTTATTGAGAGTAAGAATAAATCCGACAGTTTTGGCAGACTGCCAAATCTGTCTCCCCGATCTGTGGAAATACCAACAAATTATAACAACTTCTTTTCTTCTGAATTTGAACGGAGCAGACTGCAGACAAGTAATGGACAGAAGGTCTGCTCTAACAAATACAATGGAACACCACCCGTAATAAGATGTTCAGAAGACCTGAAAGATTATGTACCTCCTGAAACCTACCCTACCATTGAGAAACTCATTCTTCATATAAACGATGTAAAACGAATGATGGGTAGAAAAAACGGAGCTGGTTCAAAGAAGGTTCAGAAAAGGAATTTCAGTAGAAAGGCGCGATCAGAAACTCTAGGGTTAGCCACCAGGCCCACGAGTGTCACTCCGTCACAGTGCAAAAGTTTGGGATTCTCACGGCACAAGTCAGTTCTAGATCATTATCCCGAGTTAGCTGTCGGACGAGATATTCTAGGATTTTCGAGAAACTGGCCTCGAGAAGGAATAAAGCGATCAGTCACCCCAAATGATATGACGAATTCAACACTGCCATTAATCGACATAAATCCTCCGAGATAAGGTGAATAAGATCAAGATTATTTCAGAACAAGTGTTAAGCAAATGTTAATTTAGAAATGTGATGCTTTGTAATAACAATCTTCACGTTAAATAGATGATAGAGGACTCGACAGTTCATCAATGCAAAACTTGAATTACAGAACTCAGATTTAAAATAGAAATAATTGAGAAGCAAGACGGTTAGTTATTTTATATTAACCAAAACTTATTTATTATTTCGTACAAATTGTCATACAATCTAATTATATGGTCATTTATGATAATGAAAAATTTACATGTTATTTAACGGCAACATATGCTAAATAGCAATAAAGCATATGATTCGGTCAAATATAAAAATCAATCTGAATACAATTTCTTGTGATTAAAATTCAATTATTTACTGAAATTAGCTCCTGCGAAAGTTAATTAATTGAAGCTCATCCTCCCTTAAAATTTCTAAAACTGCTATCGCCTGAAACATGAACAACACTGCCTATTCGTATTCACAATCACTGTTATCGAACATAATGCCAAAGTTTTATTTTTTAAACACAAAACAGCATAGCTCACTTATCATTTGGAAGAATAATTTGCAAGATTTCAGAATCAATCTGGGTTGTTTCTTAGTTTAATTTAGACGATCAGCCAATACAAAATGAAATTGAAAAATTAGGTCAATTTAGCATATTCGATTCAAAAGTTGTAGTCTCTCGATTAGAATTATTAGACGACTGAAAGCGTGTTATTGGCACAGGCACCACTGAGAATTCAATACAATTTACTGCTGGTTAAGAATTAACTGTATACTATACCTGTATACGGGAATAGCTGTATACGGGAAACAGACCTACGGGACACGATTGACTATCGTCTTCAGTCCAGTGGCGTAACGTTGCCTGTTGGCGCCCCCCCTGCCGAAAAAATTCAGAACCGGGTTCCCGCGCGCGGGAAACTTTATGTCACAGTGAGTGTGACATTTTGTAGCTACATCAGAATTTTAACGTTTGGCGTTCGCGCCGCCGTCAGAAATTCCCTCAAAACACAATAGCTATAGGTATAGACATGTCGCTCGGCAGAGATTATATTCAATTTAGTTTAAAGAATACTGTAAAAAATTAACGTTCAAGTGAACGATAACATATTCTCGAGGCTCTAATAGCTCAATCATGAACTTGGCAACAATGTTGTCTACCACGTGACAGAAAAGGTAAAATTATAAACTTCAAGTTCACACAGCACACTAATTAATTATATTCAGGATCTTAGTAGTAAAATGTTCTGAAAGGTTTTCATTAAAGGAATTTTACAAAAACAAAATTCTAAATGAGTTATAATTAGTGATAAATTTATAGTATGGCAACCATAACAACATTTGTGTCCGGGTTCGATTTTCAATCGATTTTGTTCTTGCAAGTGATTTCATGGCTGGTCTTGTTTACTCTTCGAGTGAACCTATTATCACAGTATGAACATGAGAAGGGTCTTTCTCCCGTATGTATCCTCATGTGGGTTGTTAGACTACCTTTCCGAGTAAACCTCTTATCACACACACTACACTTGTGTGACCGCTCACCAGTGTGAGTAGCAGAATGTCTTTTTAGGTCGCTTTGCTGTGTAAACCTTTTAGCACAGTACTTACACTCAAACCTTGAATTTAGTTCTGTGCTATGTGTTCTCTTGTGTCGTGTGAGATGAGTTGAAGTGTTAAATGACATAGGACACACATCACATCTGTGTTTTAGTACTGGGTGTTCTGTTCTGATATGATCATACAGTTCCTGTTGGGAGGGCTTCCTAACACCACACTGCTTGTACTGACACATGTATGTCTTGTTCGTGTGGTTGTTGTAGATGTGAGTAGTGAGATGCTGCTTCGTAATAGCAGCATAGTCACAGTGTGTACACTTGTACTGCTTGTCCCCCGTGTGTGTTAACATGTGACATGTGAGGCGGTGTTGGTGATCAGTCCTATATTTACAGTAAGGACAGCTGAGTCTCGCTACCTTATCGTGTACTGTCCTGATGTGCCTAGTTAAGGCACTTCTCTCAGTGAACATCTTCCCACACCTGTCACACTTGTGTACTTTCTCTCTGCTTGATACTCCTAGAGTCTTCCCACAAGTGTGTCTCTCCAGTTCTTGCTGCGTCTTGAACAGCTTCAGACAACCAGTTGCAGTGCAATGATACTCTTGTCCTATTTTGAAAGGTGGTTACTTTAAAAATAGTGAGATGTAATTACCATAGTCTCCTTGCAGCCAAAATCCCGAGATTGGATAATTAAATTTAACGTTTGTAGAAAACTCGAGATGATTAATTATGGGAGAAGTTTCGACCACTAAATAATAATAAGAGGTTGATCTTACCAGCGTCAAGATCAGTTTGCAAAGAATATCCTAATTCTTCGAAATAGTCCTCTCCGTAGAACACTAGCAATTCCTCTCCCAACCCAATAGGCTTATACGAATAATACTGTATTCCACCTATTAAATTATTATCTTTATTTCAGGAAACACTGAACAATGATCCAGGCAACTAACCATCAAGTTCATCAGAATACAGTTCGACCTATTTATGGTAAGTTGAGAAAGTTGTAGGTGGCCAGAATGTAAACATAATGATCATGACTAGAACAAATAGACATCACTAATGACACAAAGATAAATTGGTGATATCTAAAACTCTTTGCACATATTATTGTAAAAAGATAATTTATGCCTAAACTGAAGAATTATTGCACCCTATATCATACCTGGAATATTTCTAACTAGGATGTTTTCCTCACATTGACCGCGAGCACAGTTAACAAACCGTAACCAGTTGCTAGCCCTGTGACTCGCCCCGTCCAGGTAGATAACATCTCCGTCCTGACTCACAGCCCGCCACGAATACCCACTCTCTTTATCTGCAGACTCTAATTTCTTGTACTCTTTCTCAGATATTACCTTCCCTTTGTAGTTACCTGATAATGAAAATGTGAATATCACAACTTGTTTTATTTTAAATTTGAATGAGTGAACACAAGATCTTAAATCAACACCTTCAAAAAAATGTGAATAAAAGTTTGGATTAAACAGGTGCCCCCTACAGAATGGTGGCCAAAAGAATGATAGTAATTCTCAGTAAAACAAATAACTTACCCAATATACTTCCTGGTTCGATAAACAGAGTCGCAAATACTCCATTTCCAGCCCTAGGAATTGTAGATTCTTTAATTTCAATACAACTAGGAACTGGGAAGTTAGCAGTTTTCTTAGTTCCAGGTTGGGTGATATCTTCTAAAAAAGGGAGTAGAGGACCATGAAGTCCACATTCTCCTCTCACATAATCTTTACACTGCCAGCAAACTGCGGACATGAAGATCTGTTAATGATAAAATACATTCAACGACGATTTTTAGTCACTGGGACAAACACCGTTCATCGTCCACCGTTTAAGGGCTTTTTAAAGGCTGTTCAGCACCGTTTACCCTGAATCCCCAATTTTGGCATTTTTATGCGGGATTAAAACATGCAAACATGATAGCGCATTTCAAAGTGAAATGGTCAATGTTCTTAACAACCAGTGCAGTAAGAGCGAAGTTGACGGTGAACAAAAAGTTGACTAACAATATTCAGACTGTAAGACCTCCTCCAGATCTTCAATATCATCACGATATATGACCCCCTCTTTAGCAAGTCTAGGAGGGTTACTGCGTCTATTTTTAGACACTTCTCCTGCAGCTGCTTGGGGAACTGGTGTTGTGAAATCTTCATCTCTAGTGATTTTATCTGTTCCACTAGTATTATCTGTTTGAGAAACAAAGGTCAGTGCTTGTGTTTCTGTTCCTTTCTCCGAGCACACTAGTTCAGCGTTCTTATCTTCTTTATCCTCATCAAACAGACTCAGCAGATATCCATCATCCAACATTCCTAGATACTCGAAATCATCTATCTCTTCCTCTTTCTTCTCAGAGTCAGGTTCTGTCTCAGGTAACCAATAAGATGGACGAGGAATATTGTCAATATTCTCGTACACTTCTCTGTTACTAAGGATAGTGGGGAGTTTCTTTGTTTGTGTAACAGAGCTGGAACTGATATCAGACCCAATCAAGTTTCTTACATCTGGTGTGTCACCAGTTTTTACATCATCTGATTTGTTGGTTTCACTATTTTGATGAGAACTGTTACTCGTACTGGGAGGTTCCCTATCACTAAGTTCAATATCGCTACAAGATGGCTGGTTGGCATCAAGGTTGGATGTCACTATTCTTCCATCGGTACGTGGTATGGTACTATAGTTAGTACTCGTTTTAACTTCAGTGTCCTCATCATCTAGCACAGTGATTCTGTCCATATCTTTGAGCACCTCCTTCACCTTTTTATTATACCTGGAAGATGGACAATTAAATTGTACGCAATATGTACAATTCACTAGCACTATGCCATTAATCAAAATGCAGAAACATTTTATGCGGTCATTAATTTTGAGAGCAGAACAGGAAAGAGATAAAACTTACTCCTCTTGGGTCATGCTATCATAGTCGTCATACAAGTCTAGTGCTCGATGGAGACAACCATTAGTCGGATCCTTGATAATTCTACCATACTGATACTGCTCCTCCTCGTCTTCAGACACATCTTCCTTATCCTTGTCTGACATGAGATCTTTGTAGAGATCAGGGGGCAGCTCAATTCTCTCATCATCTGAGGATTCTGAGTACTCTGAGTTCTCCCTGAATAGTAGTTACTATTAGACAATTCATAGCATTACTATTTACTAAGTAGAAGTAACAATCTTAATAAGAAGTCAGGACTTTGAAAAAAAATTTTGCGAGGAAGCAACACATGTAATCTATAGCGCAACCAAAATTATTTAGTTAGATAATTAGGTAAGCATATAATTACTAACATGTCCTCCAGGAACTTTTCCCAGCCCCCAGGATAAGTCTCGCAGGTAATTTTATAAAACTCCTCATCAGACATAAGAGAGTCTATGTTAGCCTCACATATTTCATGTGTATACTCTGGGTTTTCTGCGATCAGTTTACACACATCTACAGGACCATCTCTGAGATGAGAGGTTAGATTCTTGTTAACAAGTAGATCTTGTAGTGCTGGTATAGACTCCGGTTCTGAGTGTAGGAACATCTCCAGTTCCTCTACTTCGGGAGCTTCAGCTTCTTCGTTTACAAGCTGAGTAACTTTTCTTACTTCTACACATTCCACACAATCCACCTGTTCTACTTTGATATTATGTTTCTGACTTCCTCTTATCTTATTTCTGCTCTTTTGAGACTTATTCTTTTTCTTGGGTGATTTCCTCTTCTTATTAACTACTGGACTATCTTTTTCACTGTCTGAGTATCTGTCAGAAGGATTCCTGGGGTCCGTTTTAACTTCATCCTCGAGCTTTATGAGACCTTCTTCGTGCTGCTTCAGCAACGTCTCATCTGTAAAAAAGTAGATATGTTGAATAAGAAAACCAATATAATAAGGAATTTATTTTCTAAATTTCATTAGAGTCAATTATAAGTACGGTTCATATTTGAATTGTCTCTACCAAACATTATGAGAAAAGGAAATGCAAACTTCATCTACATTAAAATCCATGAAAACCAAACTATAATTATAAATAAAGATAAAACGCACACTCTGAGAAGGCTGAGGTATGTTCCTCCCATTCTTTAGTCCGGTAACATTCCAGAGGTTCATCTAGGGTCATAAAACCGAGTTCAACTAGTTTATCTCTGTTATCTCTTATTCTTTTATATCTTCTGAGACTGTGTTCACACACCCCTCCGCAGTACCGGATACCTTCAAATAACTTCCACAGTGACATTGTGTTCTAATACCAAGTTATTAGTTAGTTTATTTTATTGATGAAGCTAGGATAGCATAGGATATAAAGATCTGGGAGAAACTTGATAAGTCTATGGTGAATACTAAATACGCGTCAGAAATCAATCTTAATTATTTGAGATGAATAAAACTACGCAGTGAAAAGTTTCAATTTGATAATGTAAGGTTAGTTTAAGCTAATATATAAAGATAAACATCATGAACAATGAACATACCATACATTTTCGACTTATAATTAATAAACTCTAAATATTTAATATAATAAATTTAAATTAACAGCCCAAAAATCTAAATGTATAACTACAATCACTAACGAGCTCAAATACTACTAAGAGGTCACGTAAGATGATTATTGCAGTTCATATCTTATAACTGCGTTTCAATCTGACCACGTATATCACGCGAGTGCGGTGAGTTGTGACATATTGTGACTGGTGTAGTGAGACATTAGATAAATTGTGATAAAGTACAATGATTGACTATGACATAGTTTAAATCAATTGGGTGTTGTTTTAGACATGGGTAAGAGTTTTTACTGTCTTGACAGTTGACATTGTTTTCGTTTTCATTCCACTTTGACGCTGTCTTTTCTTTATGATTTTTCTTGCTTATCGGGGCAGCTGGGGGCAGCACTGTCACTGGGAGCAGAAGCTTCTTGCTCATCAGGGCAGCTGGGGGCAGCACTGTCACTAGGGACAGAAGCTTCTTGCTCCTTGGAGTAGCTGGGGGCAGCACTGTGACTGGTGCCAAAAGCTTCTTGCTCCTTGGAGTAGCTGGGGGCAGCACTGTGACTGGGGCCAAAAGCTTCTTGCTCCTTGGAGTAGCTGGGGGCAGCACTGTGACTGGGGCCAAAAGCTTCTTGCTCCTTGGAGTAGCTGGGGGCAGCACTGTGACTGGGGACAAAAGCTTCTTGCTCCTTGGAGTAGCTGGGGGCAGCCCTGTGACTGGGGGCAGAAGCTTCTTGCTCCTTGGAGTAGCTGGGGGCAGCCCTGTGACTGGGGCCAAAAGCTTCTTGCTCCTTGGAGTAGCTGGGGGCAGCCCTGTGACTGGGGGCAGAAGCTTCTTGCTCCTTGGAGTAGCTGGGGGCAGCCCTGTGACTGGAACCAAAAGCTTCTTCCTTCTTGGAGTAGCTGGGGGAAGCTGTAACCTTTTGTAAGGAAGCTGTAACCTTTTTTAAGGATTTTGATGGTTTTTTAACATGCAAACAATAGGCTTCGTACACTTGACCGCTCTGCTGAAATCAATAATACATATGATATCAGATCAAACTTAATCAACAACACTGCCCAATTTATCTTCAAATTTCCCCCTCGCCAACCAAGACTAAATAAAGTAAATTTCAATTGTGATCACTTAACATTTATATAAATAATGGAAGTAGAACGTTTTTACCTCATACTCTTGCTTTGCTCCCCAATCTAGGACTATGTCATTATCTGGCACATTACTTTCTCTTTCTTTTTCACTTCGTATTGGTCTGTCACTTTGTATTGCTTTGTGAGCCTCAGGACTTACAAGTATCTCTGAACCTGCAAAAAGTTTTGGATAAATTTATAATATCTTTTATTTCTAAATAGGTCAGAAAGTTTTTAAGGGTTCTTTTGCGGAAGTGATAAACACAGATCCCACCTCCAGATAGTTGGAATAGCTGAGTTTTTAAGGATATAAACACAGACCCCACCTCCAGATAGTTGGAATAGCTGAGTTTTTAAGGATATAAACACAGATCCCACCTCCAGATAGTTGGAACAGCTGAGTTTTTAAGGATATAAACACAGATCCCACCTCCAGATAGTTGGAACAGCTGAGTTTTTAAGGATATAAACACAGACCCCACCCCAGATAGCCCCATATTCTCACCTTGAGTTAGAGAGCACAAAGTGTCAGCCATCTCGCACACCCCCAGAAATGCAAACTTCGGAGCCATGTCCTCACCGTTCCCCAACAAGCCTGTGTGTATTGTACCTGGGGATGAAGTATCTATTAGCTTGAAAGAGTTTCGTTTGTTGTGTTCAGTGTTTGGTCCAAGTTTCATTATCTTCGGCGTCACAGAAGTAATAATTGCAGCCGGTAGATGTTAAAATATACAGTTCCTAAGCAGTTGCTAAGGCTACTAGACACGAGAGGATAGCATGAGGATGCTATGAGGGGGGGGGGGGGGGGGGGGCGAGGGTATGTCAGCTGGGTGTGGAACAGATTATAGGAAGATGAGTTAATACAACATGTGAGTAGTCGCTATGTCACACCGGTCTGGTAAAAGCTGCCGACGATACCACTAATAAAAACAATAAATTGGGCGTGAAATGGATCGAAATAAAGTTAATTACAGAATTTTTCAAGTAACTCAGACACGTAGAATATCTTATATTTAGGAAAATTGACAACACATAATTCTCATACCAGTATGCATTCCAGCCTTGATGCAGACATTTACATCCTTTAGATTAGCGGCTTCTATCTCATGTTCCATCTTTAATATCAATTTCTGGATAACTTTTATAGTTGCCAAGTGATTAGAGTTCTGGCGCTGGCTTTCTGTTACACTGCTGCATACCCACATACGACGAGCTTTCTGCCCTTGGCCCTGGGTGAAAGCTGTTAGAAGATATTTTTCCATCCTTGAATTTCATGACATGGAACACGCAAGACGTGTTGATACGTTTATCAACTGCAGGGTCTTTTCCTAATTTAAAAAATGGGTGCCATAGAAAGGTATCACCAAAAGATTGAAATTGGGCTGTGAGATGGCCACTATTAGCTGTTATTGGTTATAAGGGGGCTATAGGATTAGAATTACACTCGGTAAAAGCATTGCGTACAACAGAAAATTCGGTCGTTGACCTGTTGAAATATTAACTACATTGCATCAGTATCAAATGCTTTTATTTTTATACAGAATAACAGCCATAAAATAAGTTGAATAATAATTATAGTACTCACAAAGAAGAACCTGGTACCATGCCCGAGGTGGTCTAAAATTGACCTGAACTTCGTTTCCAAGTCCACCACACTCTGGAGTGATTTGCCATGCTGCAGTGCGTTCGTCAGCCTGAGGGTCACAACAGGTAAGGTTCGACACGTCTTCTTCTTTCAACAGAGTATACTGTTTAACTCGGGCTTAACTCGAGTTTAACCCATTTTATATTTCGTTTGTTTTAAAAAAAATTACTTATCGCCACCCTACCAAATATCTAAAAGATTGCTTGAAAAATAAAGAAATTCAAAACGACTCAACTGCAGTTGAGCCCCTTTTGTTAAAGAAGGGAATTAACCAACTTTACAGAAATTTTGTAGGCAAGCAGCCAATAATAGAAATACTTACCACCGGGCCACCAGCCTGCCCCGCTATAGTTATACTCAACCATTATTAGCTGATAACGTTATATATATGGGAGTCACGGTTTCTAAGAAGGTCAATAATTACTAGCTTACCCCGCTAGTTCGATTACTGCAACACTTGTGTCTGGTAACCTCTCAGGCTTGAAATTGTCCAATCCAGCATTCATTAGGATCCTGAAAATATTCTTCAAAGCATCCCAATTTGTAAACTGCCATGCTATATAACGATAAAGACACCTAATTTCAAGTGCAAAATAGTGCATAGTGGGACATTGTGAGTATTAGAGTATGGACTTTGGAGAATGAGAGGTCTCAGAATTCCACTAACTTGGGAACAAAGTGCTCCTTCAACTCGTTAACTTTCTTGTTCTCAGCGTCCATTTGAGATTCTTTATCAGCCGCCTTTTCAGCCAGAGCATCGCTAAACTTCTCCATTCTCTTCACCGCACGATCCAAGAAATTTCCTTTCTTTGACCTGCCCAAGTTGAACATGAGTATATTCTACTATTCTATCCTTCGTGCGACTTATCTTATTATTGTTTCATAGATAGCACTTCATTTATTCGACGATCAAGCTTACCCTTTAGGATCGACTCTTTTCAGTCGAGTAGAAATCTTCTTGAAAGCATCTCTATTTTCAGGGTTTTCATGCCACCAGTTCTGTTTTACCATGTTCGAAATTCTCTGAATTTTTACTCTAGTAAAATCCTTAAGTAAACAAAATGCTGCAGGGGTCGCAATGAAAGTTAGAAATTTGAGACTGGGATAAAAGGTCCATAATTATACTTAGGAAACTTGACACAAGAACATAGTTGGCTACACAGTACACACCCTTAACGGCTTGTTCCTAGTTTGTCCACTAAAATCAGGGCGGAATGGTTGCTCAAGAGTCGTATCTTTAATCTTTAGAATTATCGCTGCGGAGAGAATACTTTTAAAATAATAAGACTCCAAATCCACTGTCCAATACTCCAAAATTATTGGGTCCAGGGAATACACAGAGCCAGGGGTTAAAATCATTAATTTATCCGTTTGTTTCTAGTTGGAAAAAGGTGATCAAATCAGCAGCAACAAAACAGTTGCGCTACTGTAGGAAAAGTTCTTAAAGCTAGGAAAATTGGCTGGGCGCCTGTATTACCAGTTTTATCATAAAAGTCACTCACAGTTAGGAGTTTCAGAGTTTTCAACAGAGTTAAGGTTGAATGGGCCTGCTGTGTTGATAATCTCGTGGACTATGATTGCAAAACTGTACGTATCTCCAGCTTTAGTTCCACATACGTCTATGTATTTCTTTCTTACTAATTCAGGAGCTCTCCACAGTAAGCCTGAGCACAGAAAATTAACCTTCCAAAGCGTGAAGACACGTGGTGTAGTCACGCGGTGTAGTCACGTGGTGTAGTCACGTGGTGAAGTCACGTGGTGTAGTCACGTGGTGTAGTCACGTGGTGTAGTCACGTGGTGTAGTCACGTGGTGTAGTCACGTGGTGTAGTCACGTGGTGTACCGTGTAGTCACGCGGTGTAGTCACGTGGTGTAGTAACGTGGTGTAGTCACGTGGTGAAGTCACGTGGTGTAGTCACGTGGTGTAGTCACGCGGTGCAGTCACTCGGTGCAGTCACGCGGTGCAGTCACGTGGTGTAGTCACATGGTATAGTCACGTGGTGGCTGGTGCACATGACAGACCGTCAAGTTTTTGCTTTCTTACGTTTGTTGTGTTCCACCTCAGAATGATGATACAATTTCTTCATATCAGACATGAATACACATTCTCCATAATCGCCTATTTTCATGGTGAAGTTGTCAGATACTAGAATGTTGGTTGTCTTGAGGTTACCATGTGATCCTATGTTTGTTTTGTTGTGAATGAATGACATCCCCTGTGTGAATGAAATGAAATGAATTAAAATGAAACGAAATGGAATAATGTGCTTGTATACCGCCCATATGGTTAGAATGAAAACAAATCGAATATATTGGAATATGTATAAGCCCAAATGCATAGAACCATCAGCCATGCCATGGAAGGCTGTGTGAATATCAACAACCAGCGAGAAGTTTTAAAATGCCTAGCTTTCGGGGTTTTAAACACCATGGTCTTATAAATCAAAATGAAATGTGCAATGAGGACTCACTGTTGCAATATCATCAATCATACTGAGTTTCAGAGTACTGTCAATTTCCATTGTCTCGTCGTTTAAAACATCCTGATATCGTACATTCAATTATTAACCAACAAGTTCTCAACTTATTCTTACAACAAAGATGTCATATTAGAGAAACTCTAGAATCTAGATATGCCATGCCTCAGCGAAACCAAATCCCGTTAGAGATCAAAGTAGTTAACAAAAACTAACCATCAATGTTCCTTTCAGGCAATCCTCGTTAACGAGCCAAAAGTAGTTAGACAGAGGATCCTGGCACAATCCCACTACGTTCACCAGATAATCACTGTTAAGATCTTTCAGCTGAAAGGGTAGATGTAACAAGAGGAAAAATCCCACTTTGTATAATGCGTTCCATCATATTTCAAGAAGATCAGGTCTCCATGATCCATCGACTGATCTACAGTCTACACGAATCGTATAAAGTTTGTAGTAAGTACACGATTTCAAATGCAAGAAACATAATAAATTGTATTCACTATCCACTCACGTATTTCAGCTCCTTCATGAGGTCGATATCGTGGAAGACGTTAGCGAAAATCTCACTAACAAGAGGTTTATTGAATACGTGGAGATTTTTAAACATTTTCCTCTGCCCATTAGAGATCTGGATGGAGTCCAAGGATACAGTTTTCGCAGCTGTCACGGCTTTAAGGTCCGTGACCGTTGATGTTCCAGATGATTCTGAGCAAAATGAATTTCAATCTCTTGTACTTTCCGCGGATTAATTAGAAAGTTTCGCAGTTGTCAATAGTGCATTCGCCTTACAAGTTACAATAAAAGAAAATGGTTGTCAAAAACATGGTCTCTCGGCTGAAAAGAAATCTTTAAGTGAAAACAAACCAGTTTGAGTTTCGTCTTCATTAAAATTAGTGTAAACATGAGTGTTAACATCATGTAACTCTTTGAAGTCAACCCTCCAACTCAAATCCTTAAGATCCTGCTCCTTCTTATAGCTCCTGTAAACACATGCAGCAACACCCATCACTACCACTACTGATCCAATTACAATACTGATTATGTAAATAATATTCTTGGTACCCTCGCTCAATCCCTTGCACCCTTCGTAACCACATTTGGGACGTAGTTCAGGTATTTTTTTTCCATTAGGCCACTCAATGTCTTTCAATTCCACAGAAGCGACATATCCCTTGACAGTTTCAACCTTGCCATTATATTGAACCGGTTGAACCTGTCCTACTAGATACCATGTGTTGTTAATCCCAAAGTGTGAGACGTCAAGTGTTGTTTCTCTGTCTCCATACTTATTGAATTTAATATTGCCGGAGAATGGTTGGATTCCTTCGAAATCAGCCTCTGAAATTATGAATTATATTTATATGTTACTTTTTGTTGGAATTATTAAATTGATACAACATCAATAAATGATTTGGATTTTTAACCACTTTGTCGATCAATAATTGCACACACCGGTCCAGGTTTCATGATCGATGAGATAATCGTAGAAATGAGACGGATACTTTTTCTCCTTGATTGCTTTCATTAACAAAAGGGCTGCGTCGTGAGTGTATCCAGACCAAGTAGGAACCTGATAAAGCAATTAGTAAGAAAACAGAAGGGAAGAGGATCGCTGCGGAATGGCTAAATAGTATTAAAGTAGAAACTGATAAAATAAAATAGTAAACATGTTGAGATTCTTGGTAAAAATAAGTAAATTCAGTATAAAGGTATCAAGTGCATACTGGTCTGTTTGGAGTCCATTTGTGTTTGCTTTTAAGTTTATCGCCATAAAAGTTGTCTTTAACTTTTTCTGAGAGCTCGTCGTATCGTGTTTCGTTAAACACATCTGTAAACACGAACATATTCTGAAAATGATAAAGTTCATACTCAATTGAATTTGTATTGTAATGTCATCACTGAAATTATAATTGAAACGAGTATTAAAAACACTGACGTAAAGACGTAATAAGTAACTAATGCAGTTGGCGTCTAAACAGACCCTGAAAGCAAGTTTAGCAGTCTCATCATCACTGGACTTAACAAAATTATCATGTATCTTCAGAATGTCCTCGGCTTTGTAAGAAGGTCGGGGCCAGAGTGTTGCTGGTATTCCGATAATAAGATAATCTTCGAACGAGAATTTATCCGACGCCGCTGCCGCTCTGTACATTGATATTGCCGTGTTTCTGATGAAGCCAACACTACCAATAACAATTACAGCTGAAATGTATACATTTTTATTAGTGCAGGGTTTTGCATTGCATAATTATTATTACCATAAAATAAAACAAGGCGGCTTCATAATATAATGCAACACAATTATAATATGCATTCAATCTTGTTGAATAGGATATACAAATTTTACTCCGGAAAGCGGCATGAGCAGACATTGTTACAGTCATGCTACACCACCGCTGTGATTTATAACTCACAAAGTTAGACTTACCCCTTGTTTGAGTGAGAGCATCAGCGCAAGTGGTGTCGAAAAAGTCAAGTTTTGACATTTTCTCTCTGAACAGGTAGTTTTTATCAGTTGTAGCTCCAGAAAAAACATCAAGCTCATATGAGCTTAGATGCACTTCCCAAGAAGAAAAAGGGCTATCGCTCTCCACATCCCTTATGGTCGTTCTAATGCGATCAGCTATTTTTTCAGATCCAAAGGAGTTTTCATGAAAGATCTTTAACTCAACTTTTCTATTATTACCTCTATGATCTATCGAATACAGAAAATCAAGGACCCCATTTGCAATAAAAGACGTGGTTGGTCCTAGTCTTATAGTCGTGCTGAAGGTGTTAATCTTATCTTTTCCTTCCTTCTCCAGTAACAAGTCCCTGCCATTGTCATTGTAGGTATGAATGTATGGAACATTGCACATCTCTGAGCCAAACGCACCCTCTGCTGATGTAGATACACCAATTATTCCCTGTAACTCATCTTTCTTGTTCATGTCAAATATCTTACTCAGTGTATCCCAGGTCCGTAGTGATCTTGTCAACGAGTCCTTTGAAAGATCCGCAGTTTTAAACACTACATTGAGGTCTCCGTCCCAGTGGGTTTCTGTTTCATTTTTCACCAAATCTATCATTGGTTGGAAAAATCCTTTGTAATTGTATAGAATTGTGTTGGTATCCATCCAATCATAAGGGCTATGTCCTAGGAAAACTGATACATCTTTTCCAAGCACACACCCTGGAAATAGAACCAGAGCGACTGCTACAAATGACATGAAAAAATACCTGATGCATAATTTTTATTATAAGATCACAATAATTTTAAATTAATCGAATTCGGTACTGAGTGAATAATTAGAATTTGTTATATGATATTATACGTTTAGAATTCTTTATAATGTCATTATTACCATTATAAATAGGTATAAACATCTTCTCTAAGTGCAATCCTAGGAAACTGAACCAGAGCAGTTGGGGAGTGTTCACATATATTATGTCAGCAGCTAAAGGAAGATAGGGTTTGGAAATGCTTACAGTTGCTGACAAGGGGGGCCGGGGCTGGGGTGTGGGGTGTTGTTGGGTGGGGGGGGGGGGGGCGGGGGGGGGGGGGCGCAAAAATATCTGAATTTTGGCAATAAATGACATTAATTTGATTTACAATAAAACTTTGCAAATTTTCCAACTATCATTATCACCACAACCCCGAAAATATTCAGTGGTTTAGTAGAATATGGCACAGATATATCATCCACAAAAGGATGCTTGTCACTATCAACGTGTTATGTAGTACGAAATTATTAAATGGTCTGATAGTGCACATTTTGAATTGTTCCAGTTCTACTTTCTAATCATGAAACCTATCTAGTAGCTATTATCTGTTATTGTGACAAAATGAACCCATCATACACCATATACGGAAACGTTCATTGAAGTTTGAGGATATTGGTAAACAAAAAAATAGCGTTTTGAGGTTATATCTGTCACATTTTATAGAATTTTTAATTTTAGGTGCATTACCAAATCAAATCAAATCAAATCAAAATATAATGACACAAACATCATCACACATCATCAAAAATATATCTACGGGTAAACCGCCCCTAAAACGTCACCTGTTTTTTGGGCCCAGATTGCCGAGTTACGGCTAAATTTACAGGGTTCTGAAGTGTCTAGGAATAATATTTAAACCTTTTTCTAGCCTGCAAGGAAGATTTGGAGATTTGAAAATAAAATCAGGTACAATTTTTTTGACGTTGAAATGGAGTCACTTTTAAAACACCACCCCTAAAATGTCAACTCTATATGTGCATATATGTGTGATAATTACAAAATGTACAGGAGGCCTGGTTTATCTTTTGTCACTAGTACTATTTGTTTTGTCTTATTAAAACATTAAGCTACTTGAAAACATTCACTCACTAAAGGAAGTACCTCAAAACCGTAATCACCCCCTAAAATGTCACGTGCACCACCCCTAAAACGTCAGCTAAAACAGGTTGTGTAGCACTCAGAATGTTGCTCAATTATTAATTTTAATCACTTCTGGGACAAATATAACCTATTTCTGAGAGGTGTCGACCAGAATTTCTCTCTCTGTTGAAAAAAAATGGTGGAATTTAGTCAATTTACTTTTTGTGACATTTTGGGGACTTTTTTTTGAATACCCAGAATTTACGGCAAAACAGTAAATCAGTCAACAAAATTTACACCTGTAGTTAGATTATCTAGTTATAAACTAACAATTGGCACAAAAGAAATGGATTCAATGTGATTTTAACCTAGTGCAAATTGCATGTTTTAATTGCATTTTTTGGGATTTTTAACATCATCCTGCATTTTGGCAATTTTAGTGACCTGTAGTTAACTAAGCCAACCCAGTAATCGATCTGACCTTCTCTATAGACTAGATTTGACTGCTTTTAGCAAAATTGAATGTCAAAAACTACGGTTTTTGGTACTTACTAGTTTATGGTAAACCTATGATATGCCCCCTAAAATGTCATTTTTTTCTCCCCTAAAATGTCAAATTTGTATTTTGTTCGCATGGTGTGCGATAATAGCTCTTGTTTTGGCACTTGTTAATTATTAACATCAACTATTAACGAAATGTGAGTATGCATTGCATCTTAGGAAAAGCCTAAGTAATTTGATCAGGTTAAAATGACATTTTAGGGGGGATAATTAGACATTTTAGGGGATGTTTATTGCGATTAATAAAATAAAACTAATTCCTTGAGCTGCCAAAGCTTTCCAATATTACCATTAGATGCTAAATATGATGTTTAATAAGCTGGTACCTCCATTTTATGGTGCTTGTAGTCTCAAAGCCAGAATATGATAAAATTACATTTTAGGGGGCGGCCAGGTGACATTTTAGGGGAGGGTAGTAATATTGAGTAATGTATAACTTTCCATATCTCCAGTCATATGTACAAAGTTGCTAAAATATGTAAATATCACTATCCTAGACCAAAACCGAGTTAATATTAATGAATTCCAGAGTTATAAAATTGTGCGCTTTTTTTCAAAAGTAAAAAATTCGTACAAAGTGAAAAAAATGCCCTTATGGCATCATTTAGATTCAATTTCAGGATGTGGCAGGGTCTGAATGATAGTAAAATTGAGTATGGAAGATACAGTTTATTCTAGAGAGGGCAGTTGATGTTAACATTGTCATCAAAATTACGTGATTAAATTAACATTGCTTGCCCTATTTTGAAGTTCATCATATCTCTATTAGAATTCAATGTTCTTTCTAGAAATAATTGGTAGATTATTATCCGGCACATCACAGCTTTAGTTTATGTGTTAATGTTAAGTTACATTTTAAGTCACTAAAAATGTGACAAAATTTACATTTTTTGCCCCAACAATATAAATATAATGCGGAAAACTGGTATGGGCTGCTATATTTCTTGTATTAATCAATTTCAACCATAATAAGAACTGTCGATGTTAACGAAAAATTATCAAAATTTTACAACAAATTATGTGACGAAATTAGCATTGCTTGCCCTATTTTAAGTTCAATCAAATGAACGTGTCCAAACGTATATTTATAGAATGACAATGTGACGTTACGTTACATGACTCGATTTACTATACAGTAAGAGCATAAATGACAAAATTGATTGACTAACGTTCCCTGCTGCAGTAATAATTTTAACTTAGTGTAAAATAGGAATATTGTTCAACAAATCAAAACTCAAGTTTACCTGGGGAACCCAGGCTATTATGTTTATAAACATAAAAGAAATTCGGCGGAATGACAGGCTGAACGCCGCCCAGTAAAACTCAAGTGTAACAATTTTGAGTTTAAGTAAAATACAATTTAAGTAAAATACAATTTTTATTTCCACAGAAAAATTTGTCATACGTTGTATGAACCGCCACGCACGAGTGCGCGGCTCCCCTGTATCGTAAAAACTCTACACTCTACAGGGGTTGTAGTGAAACGACAGTGAGGGTCACCAGGTGATACAAAAAAGAATCCATACAGATTGAATTGTAAATATTCGATAATTCCATTAATAATCATTAAAAATTTCTTTGTCATTTGTAAAATCAAAAACGAAAAGCCATACGCTGAACAAGCGCGGCATTTTTTCTGCAGCTGCCTAACTTGTAGCCGCTAACATCAAAGCCGCCGCGCGGCAGTTAAACTTTGGAAAATATTGTCATACTTTGTATGACCCGCCGCGCACAAAGTGCGCGGCTCCCTCTGTATCTTCAGGACGATAGTGAAACGACCGTGGGGGTCGCAACGTGATACAAGGAAAATATACAAATAAAGGCAAAATACTCAAAAATCACATAACATAAAACAAATTTTTGCCACAAATTCTTCCCTCATGTTGTGACTGATTTGGGTAGAGAGCTTGGATTTTGAAGAGGATGAGTGGGGGAAGTTATATTTGGTGAGAAGATTAGAGAGGAAAACAAATTTTTTTAGGAAAACAAATTTAAATTTTGGTATTTATTAATAACAATCAAAACATATCATATCATAAAAATAAAGCCGCGCGTTGGTTGACTGCCTCAGTAAGGTGAATAATTTAAGCTTGAAGGTGCCCTGCGCATTTACAGAACCTTATGCGGCGATCACATATTCATGAGGACCTGTGAGCGCCAAATTTAATTTAAAGTTTCTAGAAATCATACATCACTACGAGTTACTCATGCTTTTGTTATTGGGAACTGAGATCGCTATCGTGTAACTAGAAGCAGTATATGCAAAGTAACTTAGGTGATAGGTGATAGGCAATATGAAATTACACATCTTACTTTAACTTTATCCCGTCACCCATGGACTTATCAATTAACGGCTGGTGGTGGTGTCATCGTTTGTCGTACTCAAAACGTTTCGCGGTTGCGAATGCCGGCCCATCGAGGAAAATCTTTTTACTTTCTATTTTAACCATTATAAAGTGTGATTAGTCGGATATAGTACTGAGTTCAAACAGTCCCCGAAACGAAAAAGCAAACATTTGATTTTTGTTTCGGCGACTGAATCGTCGATGAGCCGGCAAATATTTGTTGTCGAGTAGTGTTGAATACTCATATTAACATGATTATTGATTTAATTTAGGAATTGTATATAAATATCTTTGACCAAGTTTAATCATTAATTGTTAATGAGAATGCACCCCAGCGCTGGGCGCGCGCGGCGGCTTTGATGATAGCGGCTACAAGCTTGAAGCCAGGCAGCTGCAGAAAAAATGCCGCGCGCGTTCAGCGTGGGGCTTTTCGTTTTTGATTTTACAAATGACAAAGCAACTTTTAATGATTATTAATGGAATTATCGGATATTTATAATTCAATATGTATTGATTCTTCTGTGGAAAATAAAAATTATATTTTACTTAAAAATTGTATTTTACTTTGGATTATAAGAGTGCGGATTGTCAGGTATTTCATTCATTTATACTTAATCGGTTTAAAGCTGTATATTTAGAACTCACTATTGTTTAAACTACGAAAGCAGAACGTAGATAATGGACAATATACCGACGACAATACCAAGGACCCGAGTGCCGCATTGACTTTTCCGGATCCGTTTTTACCTAAGAGATGTTGGTGTACCATGGAAGGCCCAGCATAATCTGCTCGTGAAATGCAGCGGAGAGAAGTTCATTTTCAGTGCTTTCAAGGCGACTATAGAAATCTATTGCAAGTTTGCAGGCTTCAAAGAAGAGGGGGTGGCGCCCACTTTCGCCCCAGCAGCCTATATTTGATGCTTTTGAATGGACAGACAAGGACCACTTGATAAACTTAAGGTGGA